TTTTAGTTCTCCCTTCTACTTTTAGCTATGACTAACAAACGAAATAATAAAGCTTCTGGTACTTCTGCTCCAAAACGTCCTGCCCAGAGTCCTCCTTCTGGCAACGTTCAAGGTCAAGGTTCTTCTGCTTCTACTTCTGGTCTCACTTCACAACCTTTGACCGACAACTCTGCAAAACGCACACGGGTTTCTTCTGAACCCGTTATGGACCAAGACAATATTTTGACTCCTCCTGCTCTTCAGGATAATACTTCAACTTCGTCTCCTCCTCCCGTTGATACCAACGCGTCCCCTTCGGCTCCTGACTCTGGTACCTCCCTTGATGACTCCCAACACTCCCCCTCTAACTCTGCAGACAAAGGAAAATCTGTAGATATTTTGCCTCCTGAACCTGAACGCGCTGCGTCTCCTGACGCGTCCACCGCTGCTATACAATCTTCCCTCCTTCGCTTTTATGCTGCGGCTGCGCCCTCTACTATCGAAGGATTTTGGACCTATTTCAAAACCAATCGTGAAGCTTGCGACGCGACTGATAGAGAATTCTCCTCATTTTCCTCTTATGGTAGCAAGGCTACCACCCAAGGATCAGGCGATAATAAAATTATCGTTGTCTACTTTCGTTCCAAACCAGATATGGAAAAAGCTATCGCTGCGCCTATCACCTCCCTGCATGATCTACAGTTTCACGAACATGACCCATCTGCTAAAAAGGTAGATGAACAGCTTCGTACCCTGGTAGTTACCGACATCCCCTCTTTGTCACTGATGCGCAATTAAGGGGTACCTTTTCCCGTTATGGTATTATTACCCACTGCTGTACGCGTCTTTTGAAACTTTATCGCACTGCGTATATAGTTTTCGACTCCGCCACCTCCCTGGACCAATTTGATACCACGTGGGCTGTTATTTGTACTGGACATTGTTTACGCGTCTGCCCAGCCTCTCACTCACCTGACCAACGCGCTATTAGGCGTGCTCATGTTGCACTTCTCGCCGGCCTCCTTCGCAGTTCTGTTGCCGCCGACCTCTCCGAAATTGCCAAAGAAGTTTCCGCTAAAAGCGTCAACATCCCATTCTCTTATAATTCCTACAACCCTAAACCTTACGCTTATGTACACTTTTCCTCTGCTGCTACTAAAGAATCAGCTATGGGGATTACTTGTGCTCTTAAATCTATTGGCCTTACTTGGCATGAACTTACTGAAGTCTCCTCTCTTTGTCATCGTTGTGGTCACCCCGGTTGTCATCTGGACAAATGTGCTTCATCACGTGCTCCACAACGTCCTTCTCGCCCATGGTCTAGCAATGATAAATTGCGTGAATTATATAACAAACACTTACCTCCCTCCCATCCTGCTAAACGTCATAATCGTTTTGCGCGTCCTGCTAATTCTGAACGAAGATCTTATGCTGATGCCGCTGGTAGAAGAGTTCCTTCCCGATCTCAATCTCACCCTAGATCTTCACGTTCACGCTCTCGTCCTAACAACCATCGTCATCCTCATCGTCCTTCACAATCTGATTTGGATCACGACATTGCTGCAATGGATGTTCCGCCTTTGATGGATTGGCAACATATTACTGAACAAATTACTATTATACTTGAAGAGATTACTCATCTCACCACAGAATTTGCTCAACTTCTACATCGCGTCAAATGGTTGGAAGATCAACATTCTTCTTCTCCTCCTCCTATCCCCAGTTCCCAACAACCTCAAGCTCCTCTTGCTCCCGAAATTGATTTTATGAACCAAGGATGGGATAATATTGAACCCTTTGATCCTCGACGTCTTAGTGACAACCTTATGGATTTTAGTTCTCCTGTTTCACCATCGAATGGTCCAAATTTCACTGCTCATTCACATATTCCTCTTTCTCCCCGTATGAGTTTAATCCCTGGCCCTGCCTCATCGCCACAAGATTGCCTTTCCTCCCTTACTACTACAGTCACTGAACTCACCAAGACTATACAACAAGGCATGGCTCAACAAAAACAATTCTTGGCTGCTCGCGATAACGCGAACTCCCAATAAATTTTAATTACTTTTTATTTCCCTTTACTACTTACCCTTTTATCATAGTGTAGTAATAATGGACAATAAAATACATAATTTTTCTCCTCACCCTTCTCCTCTTATTAAATTTGGTCA